CAGGATGGTTCAACTCCACCATGTTGTGTGATTCCTGCCTTTTTGTCCATCCTTTCTTTTTTCTCGAAAGTCTTTCTTCTTACATATTCCTTTTTACGTATTTCTGTGTTGCTAGTTTTGTCACATGATAACTAATTGTTGTAGCTCATTAATCTGGTCACTGGTGTGTGTTGTGAGCAATCCCACAGGCCACAGCTAAAGGGAGCATCTGTCCTGGTATTCGATTCTGAAACATAGTATTTGGGAGTTGGAATATATGTCAGTCTATTCAGCAACTCCGAAAGTGTTTTCTCTCATATGGGAGGCATTTGTTTTCAGTTTTTTCCATTTGAAAATATTTAAATTGCCACGAAGCATAGATTCCAAAAGTTTTGTCTCAGTTATTGGATACGGCTCATTAACACGAAACTTTGTTTTCTTGCTAATGTTAATTTTTGCAGGTGTGATGTTTCTTGGAGCTCTTGTACCGTGATTTCTTACATGATTCTTGTTGGAAGTTTGGGGACTAACCTGTTAACCCTTGCTTGCTTTGCTGTTGTGGAAAATGCAGAGATTCAAGCTTGGAAGCTCCCATTATTGCGTATCAGAAAGGCCATAAGATGTTTTTATTAATGTTACTGATACTAAATGCTGCTTTTTTGTAGGACTAAATGTCTTGGGGTTCATGTTTTCGTTTCATAAACTTATCGGTGACCATGTGTTAAATCTTGTCTTCCAATCTCATATTTACTCACAATTGCTTCTTTTGTTATTCAGTTTGGGACTTGAAAAGCTTTTGCTGGTTATTGCATTGCGAAACATATAGTAGTATATATTAATCTTGCTCTTTGAGGTTGTCTCCTTTTTGTCAATGTTTTTTTGTCAATGTTTTGAAAATCGGACCGGACCGGACCGGCGGTCGAACCAGGAACCGATCCGGGTTGGGTCAACTGTAAAACCTAAGTTGAGTTAACCTGGTTATTGAACCGGGTTGAATCGCTAAAAATCTGGAAACCGGCGATCCAATTAAACTGTTTTAAACCGGGTTTAATCTAAATTTTACTATTTTGTTAATATTTTTTTTTTCAATTTTTTTTTATTATTTATTATTTTATAACTAAAAATGTAATGATGGGATTTATAAATGACGTTTACATTTCTTATAGTTATATTTATTTTTCTATTTTTTTCGTATCTTTTGTTTTGAAACTCAATAACCAATAGTATAAAATTAAATGATAAAGTATGTATTAGAGAAATTATATATTTGTTCTCTTAACTTTTTGACTAAATTACCAAAACTATTAAAATTAATTGGTTCTTTATAATTATGATATTTATGTGTATTTTTTATTTAAGTTTTCTAAAGTTTTAAAATTATAAGTATTTTGTTTGATATTAGAAAAGTATAAAATTAAGTATACTAATAATTTTTAAAAAAATTATCAAATCCGGTTGAATCCGGTCGAACTACATAGACCCACAACCCAAATGTTTTTCTGGTTCAGTTGCCGGTCCGGTTTTAAAACAACTGCTTTTTGTTTATCTTGTCTCTTGTGTGTGCATTGGGAATAATCATAAGTTGAAAGGTATGTTTTAATAACATTGGGAATCATATTGATGCTGATTCAATCTTTTTTATGTTGTGATCTGATCTCGCTAATATAATCACATCTTTCAAGCTTTCATGTGGCAGGTGTGTTTCAATGTCTGTATGTTTCAGATATTGCCTCAAACATGTCTGGAATATTCTTACTTTTGATAGAAAAGCTTTGTAAGTTGTGCAAAGAGGAATTATGGTCACTGTTTGTGATAATCTGCTTAGAAAGGAAGCTGTATCCTTCCATTTGTTGGAAATTAGGGCTCATACAAATTTATGTATATTATTACGTACTAGAATAGGATCCGCATTAATACGCGGGTAAACACATTAAAAATATTAATATCAAAATTTAAGTTTTAATTAGTAACTTGATTAATTACAAAAATATTTAAACATAGATCTCAATCCATTAAAGTTTAATTTATATCTTAATTCATAATATGTAGGACAAAAAATATATACATAAATGAAATTCAATCATATTCTTAATAACAAAAAAAAATATGGGACATTTGAAAAAATGTCACTTTTTACATTTGAAAAAATGCCACTTTTGATGTCCATTTGCAAAAGTATCACTAATTACGATTTTTTAGAGCCTAAATCTTAAAATTCTAAATTCTAAAAAATCTTTTGACCCCTAAAACCCTTTAAACCCTCAAAACTAAACCTTAATACAACATAGTTAACCCAAACATAAATGATATAATGAAGAAATAATTTTGAAAAAATGGTATTTTTGTAAACATTATAAAAAGGTGGCATTTTTGTAAAGTGACATTTTTTGAAATTTTTCAACAAATATTCACATTATAAATTTATATTAACTATATGATAAAATTTTATAACGATTAAAATATTATAGAGTTAAATTATAAAACAATAAATTTATGTGAATAATCTCATAAAAACGCATTAAAATATTTTATAATATTTTATCAAACATTATATATAAATCTATGATTGATAAATGTCAATAATGTCAGGGGCAATTACAAAAATGTCATTTTTTGTATGCACATTTGTAAGAATGCCATTTAGGGGTGTCCATTTGCAAAAATGCCACT